GACTATGCATTTACTGTGGTAGTCCTGGGGAAGTTAATACCAAACCTCCTGAACCCCATCTGAGTGGAACAACTTTATCTTGATCTCACCAAAGAATGTGGTTCCAATATTCATAATGTCTGTGCTGTCACAGAAACAGTGGTTCCCATTGATAACCCCTGTGTCAAGTCTGAAGCACTTGGCCCTCTAGTTTGTAAGGAGCTTGATTATGCTGGAGTTGCACTGTCCGTGGAGTGATTTTAGGAATGATCACAGGTGTAGTCACTTTCGTTGAACTGAGTTTCTACTTTGGGTCTGTACTCTGTACTTTAAATGTAGTCTTTCTAAACTATTGCTGTTTGATTGTTCATGATTAGTAGAAAGACCCCACTTGTCACCTTATAAATAATACAATTATTAAGAAGTGGCATTGCACAACGATGAACTCACTGCTGTTGTATACTGCATATGGAAAGTATGAAAAGCAGAAAATGTTTTCCCTGAAAACAGCTGCCTGCTGTCACTGAAAATTATGCAGATGAACAGTAAAGTTGCACCGAAACAAAGCACTCATTATTTACAATACACTCATATCTAAACATGTCTTTCTTCTGTATTTGTCTTTTTCTTTATTGGGTGTTTTTCGGGAGGTGAGGTTGACTGTGTGGACAGTCTTACCGGCTGTTTCTCCAAACAACAGGCTTGTTGTTGGTGCCTTTTTCTTTTACATGGATTTGTGTCTTTCTAATTGATTTTAGTGTCTTATGTTGCATTTCTAGTTTGTTTTTAATGTAAGAAGCGCTCTGAATTGCTTCTCTGTATGAAATGTGCTGCACAAATACAATTGCCTAAAGGAAGGCAAAGAATGAATAACGACTATTGACAAGAATAATGTCTTCTTTGTGCGAGATAAGATTAGTTTTAAAATATAATCAGATTTACATGGAACAGTCCTCAGTCACATTGTAGTGACAAGACTCGTGACCATGGCGCTCATCAGAAACACAGGACAAAATGCAGGGAGACATATGTTGGATGTAGAAGCGCTCATGTCAAAATAACATGAATAAGCAAACTGCCTCTGCAGATGATATAATTT